AAAATTAACAGGACAGTCTTTTCCCATTAGCAGAAAACAACTAAACTAAAGGTTAACTGAGTTTCCTGAACTTTGTTTTTCCCCAAATACTTTCTTCTTAACTTTTTGGTCCCTTTTAAATTAGAACACAACATGTAATATAGAGTGAAAATAGAGGTTTAATTCCATGGGATTCTATAAACATACTCATTTCCAGGTAGCATACTACCTGAAGTAACACAACGGATCTTAAACAGCCATGAAACGATTGATGCCCAAAATTGACTTGATACATCTACTACAGTCTAAACATAACCAGTGAAATATCTGAGGGCTCCAAGTTGGATGGTATGACTGGCCCTAATATAAGTGAGATGTAAAGAAAAGAAGAAAAATATCGTCCTAGAAGTACTGAAAAAAGGGATGGAGAATATGAGATTTCAGATGGCCCTTGAAGTATAACCTGAATTTCCGGAGAAGGAAAAAGCATTTGAGGAGTGAAGAGCTTGATAAAGACAGAATAATACTCAAAAAGCATGGAGAGGGAACCAGCATAGTTGACCTCGGTTCGCGTCCCGGACCCGGTGGCTTAAAACTCACGCCGGGAGCGTGTGCGTGTGTGCCCAAGATCCCGAGAGGAGAATGGAGAAGGGATTGCGGCGTGACTATCCCCCCTGGGGGGTGATTTCTCGCTTTCTATCTCTATGTCTCTCTCTGTTTGTCTGGCGAGCGCACGCGCCCTATAGTGAAAATCTTCCCTCCACCCCCCACCCCCCAAAAAAAGCATGGAGAAAATAAAGGCATCACGATAATGTGGAACCAGTAATCACAAAAATATATAATAGGAGATAACACTTGAAAGCAAGACTCTGTCTCGCTGAACTATGAAATTCTTTTTCTTTTTATTATTTTTTTAAGTTTGCAATAGGCATGCACCAGCTGGAGACAGAGAGAAAAAAGAAAGTGAAAAATCACTCTCAGGGGAATGGCCACACCACAATCCCGTCTCCATTCTCCTTTCAGGATTCTGGGTACGCATGCACACACACTCAGCATGTTTCAGAAGACTCTGTTCCAGGACTTGAACCACTCAGTTGGCCATGTGAGATCCTAAGTGCCAGTCTAAGAAATTTAAGACTTTTTCAGAAGACAACTCTAATTATCTTTGAAAGTAAAGTCAACTTAATTATTGAGTTGATAAACTTTCTAGGATGCCATTTTTGGGTATTTTACCCATTTTTATAGGTAATACCTTACTGCTTGGCACCTACACATTAAGAAAATTTAAAAATTATCTTACTGATGTTAGACACAAAGCATGACAATTTAATGATTAAAGAAAAATTACTTTTAGATACGAGAATAAGAGTGGCTGTTTTTTTTACTCTTTCTGCAGCTCCTATGTATTTTTCCGTCTTGCTGCCTGACTTCCAAATATATAACCACACTTAACTTTCAACTTTCACGACATTTTGCTTTACCACCTTAACTACTTACATATTCCCTAGGATTCTTCCCCACTTTCAATCTACTCTTTCCCCCCTCACCT